CTCTTCACTTCATTTTTGTTGGGAATTTTTCACTCTCCGATTTTCCTATTTAACTTCATTTATGAATATCCGATTACATTTCGGTTTAAAGTCTGTCTGAGACTCAATTATTTTTGGCAACAGTATAGCAGCCACTTTATAAGACTTGTGTTTTGGATCATTATCGTGATGAAAATGTAAGATATTCGAGATACGTAGTCTTTCAGCGGAAGTTTTCACATTTTCTAATGAAATATATCGGCATTCTTCATATATATTTCCATCATTAAACACATGTCTTCTATCTCCATGAATGGTCATCCATGCCCACACCATAACACTTCCTTCTCTATGTTTAATTAAAAAAAAAAGCTTCTGCCAATTGTTATTCTGTTTACAGTTCGACCAACAGAACCAAAGATGTTAAATTTGCAGTCGACTCAAAATATTTCAAGCTTCAACTCGTAATCTTTTATTCTCTGTTTCATATTGTACGTAGTTAGTCAATGTAAACGTTCACAATAAAAAACCATAGTTTTATTTTAATTTAGAGTTATTTTTTACGTATTATTTCCATTCTATATATGTTTTTCGTATAGATAACTTTTTAAAATATTCAAAAAATTCACGAATGATACTTTATCACAGTGTTTTTCAACCTGTGGGTCGCGACAGCCAGGTGGGTCGCAAAGCCATACATGGAGGGTTGCGAGTAAAAGAAAAAGATAAGCGTTTGTAGGCCCTACACTACAATAAAAAAACTACAATTTCAGTGAGAAGGCTGTGCCTGTTTATTTTACAGTACAATTAGTTTTTTTTTTATCGATATTTAAATTTCAACAGAAAGAAAATTAAATACGTACCAGTAGTTTTTAAAATCACTGACATAGTTTTAATATGGCCGTGGGGGTCGCCAGAATTTTTTAACTTGTAAAGGGATCGCGTATTCAAGAAGATTGAAAAACACTGCTTTATCACAAAAAAATTTTAAATTAATTTACATTACCAAAAGAAATTACTCATAAATTTATTGGTATATTAGTAAATGTATGCAATGTTCATCTGTAAATATCAATTAATTTTGAATAGAATTTATATATTTTAAATGATTTAATGTAGAGAATAGAAATTTTATTNATAATTAAAATTAATATGTATTTATTTTTTAGAAAATACAAGGGAAGCGGCGCATCCACCGCTTCTAATGACGGCACGCCACTGCTGCTCATGACTGTCCACTCCACATCTCCACCGAAGGAAGGCCTCCCGCGCGTGATTGGTTTACACGGGAAAAATAAAGGTCTGATACTTTTTGAACACCCCTCGTATTTATGATTTTTAAATTATTCAAAATCTGTAATATTTCTTGATGTATGCTCTCACCTCTGGCGCTACTTTTTGAACGATCGTTGTTTAAAACAATATTTCCATGGTAAGTTCTGTAGAGGAAAGCCGTTAAGTAAGCAAAGGAGTGAACGTTCTATACTTGAATTTGAACACTTCTATATTTCGCGAAACGTTGGACAATTCAATTCTAATATTTTTGACAAAATTTAAATTTTTAAATAACGGGAATATTGAAATTATTTAAATGATGTTTGTCTATATTAATATAATGTTCGAATTAAAGGTGGAAAAAATCCAGTTCCGCTTCTGGAATTGGAACTGTCAGAACTGATTCGAGTGCAAAACTCTTCCGACCGAACGGTTTCTCGGAACTGCTTAGTCTGTTGGACTAAATAAGTCCACGGAATTATTATATTCTGTTGGACTCGACGCTTTCTTTTCGCATATAATCGAGATGGGTTGATGATAATATTAAAAGCGCAGAGCCCAAACGATTAGGAGTTGAAAGTTGAAATTTGATACACAGTTAGGATACCTCAATGAGAATATAGAGTAAAAAGGGATTTTTCGAAATTCCTCCCCCGCCAGAGAGAGAGAGAGAGAGAGAGAGTTAAGTGTTCCCTGAAGAACTGGGCTTCTACTCTATTACTTTAGATGCGGTTTTTGCGTTTTTTCGGAAAATCGAACATACTTTTAGACCCATCTAAAACTTCTCTAATTATTTTCGGAAGAGGGGAACCAAATTCTTGCACACGGTAAAAACAGTTAAGATCGGGATAATATAACCTTTGTAGTTTTTTATTCTGGAAATACAGTAGAGCATCGATTATCCGACCCCCGAGTAACCGTCACATCGGTTAACCGACCGTTCTAGTCGGCAAATTTCAAATGTCCGCTAGTGATGTGGCGCTACAATATTTGGCTATGCCTTGGCTACTTTAATGTTATTTTTTTTTTATTTTTGCGTGTTTTAGCTGGCAAACAGGCTCGAGCATGAAACGGATGCCCAAGTTTTCTAATTAAGAGTGGTTGTTTGTTTTGTGAGCAATAAAATAATTTAAAAATAATTTTTAACGATACAATAGCGACGATTATTATTTAAAAAAAAAATTGTTAGGCTTAACATCGATGAAAATTTAACGCTAGGTAGGTTAATAGCGATATACTAATTACATGGAATATACTAATATACTATACTAATAATGTATTTTTTTTATTCTTTTTGGTTATCCGATTTTTTCAGTTATCCGACAACCCCAGTCCCAATTGAGTCGGATAATCGATGCTCTACTGTAATAAAATGTTTATTTCTATTGTCACTTTGCCACTTCAGAAAACCCCGGTTCGAGTAGGAAGCTTCAGAAATTTTCATGGCAGAAATCTACCTGATCAAACACCATAAACACTTAAGAAAAGCGCTTAGGGCAAGTTTTGAAATTTGTAAGATTCAGAAATTAAAATTGAATTTTTAATTTTGTATAGCTTGTAAAAATGTGTAACCAAATAAAATTTATTGCAATAACTTTTGTAAAATTATTATTTAGTGTATAACTATGTTAAATTCCTGTTTGTTTTTTGCGAAATTATTTGGATTCAAGCCAAATAAAATAACATGTTTGCCTGCGCTGTAAAATTTCCCGGGAACCGATAAGGAAACGTGGAAACACGCAAATGCAAAACAATAATGATAATCCATTCCCTTGGAGGATTTCCAAAAATATTGCTTTGTTCAGTGTATGTTAACTCATAAAAAAAAGAGTTGTATTTGTTAGAAGTATGACAATTTCTAACTATGAAAAACCATTTAAATGTTACAATTAATAATTTTTTAATTACTGTAGTAAACGTAATTATTATTTAATTAATCACATATTTTAACTTTTCCCTTCGTGGTACCAAGAGGAATTTTTTTTCCTCGTCCATCATGGTTTTGATGGGTCTACAAGATGGTTAGATGGTAAAAGATGGACTAACATCCAAATTAACCCACCTGTGGAAATTCCTGAGCCAATGTGGAATCAAACCAAGGTCTCGAGCAATGGGCATTTTTTTAACTCTGCCTTGTGGGCACTAAGAAGGTAATGTCTAGTACATTTATTGCCTTGGTCATTCAGTTGTTAGAAAGCATCCCAAATGTTTTCACAAAACACACAGGACGACTCCATAAGACAATTAAAAATCCAATAAATTCCAGAAACATATTTTATCTTCAACGAATTTTATTTTTCCATCTCTGGTTTTTACATAGTAATATGGACAGAATTAAATTACGTATGATACATTATGTAAAATTGGGTCATGTGCAATGCTATGGAAAAGTTCAATAAACGTGCTTATAAATTATTAAAAATAAAGCAATAAAAATAATAGTAAATAAATCACAGACACCACAACCACAATAAGAAGTCTCCTTCATGGTTAGAATAGAATAATGGATGCATGAATCAAGTGCAGTTTAGCAAAATTTGAAACTGCAATTCTAACATTTAAATGCATTCTATAAACATGGCAATGTATGGCACGATGACCAGCATCTTTCCTTTGCTATATTATAAGGTTTGTTTTTTAATACAAAAATCAATATTGTGAATGTTTAGAAAATCCATATTAGAAAAAATAGCAGTGCAAGAAGATAGCATAACATTGTTTGTATATATATATATTTATAATATATATTTTATTTATATGTATAGTTTTGAAGCTTTGTACGAGAATTGCCAGTCGAAACTTGCAAACAAGACTATATTACAATGTGCTATACAGTTGTTTTGTTTTTCAGAAAATTATTAGTATAATAATTAAACATAAATTATACAATCTATATACAATCCTTGACTAAATATGTAAATGTGACACTGCGTTTCTTGCAGTTTGTAACAAAAATTTAATAAATATAGGTATAAAAAGATGGAAAGGAAAACCACCTTTGCCTAAAATGACATCAAACTTTTGATAACAAGGTAGAAACACCAAAATATTTTTAAAAGAAAACAATTGGTTACTTTAAAGCAGATGCCCATTCTATTTAGTTTACAATATAAACAAACTGAAAAACTACAATACTACTGATTTATCAGCTTTCTTATTTGAATTAAAAACAAATATTCAAAATGTGTGTGTCTTCATTGTTTTTACATAAAGAATAAGAGAGCAGAAAAATCACAGGTACTAAAGTCTGGCAGTTTTTCTATGATGTGACATAGGACAACTGCTTCAATGTAATCAATAACTCAGATATTTTCGCTCAGGTTTTAAGCTTGATGAAACTATATTACCTGTATTAAGAATAACTGGCCAAAATTGCCATATTTTCGAATCTATCGTGATAATGATCCATGCATCTGTCTGTCATGTAATAGATTTAAAAACTAAATCATTTGAAATGCTGTTGATATGGTCAAAACTGATATGATGCATCTAATTACCTAAAATATTAATTAATTAGAATATATATGTTCTTTTATTTTGATTATAGATGTTTATAGTAGAATGTCGATAACCAGAACTTTCATTTAAAAATTATAAATATTACTGAACAGCAACGAATTTAAATTCAATTCATTCCTTCTGAAATGCAACNTATTATTCAAAAACGATTTTTTTAATTCCAGAGAAAAGGAACCAAAAGAAATTTTCATGTAAACACTGTAAGAAGAATTTCAAAACTAAACACAATTTGAAAACTCATGAAAGAATCCATACAGGAGAGAAACCTTTCAGTTGTGACGAATGTAAAAAGAAGTTTACAGAAAGGTCAAGGTTAATTCAACACCTTCGTATCCACACTGGAGAAAAGCCTTACAGTTGTGATGAGTGTAAAAAGAAGTTTACACAAAGGTCAAACTTAATTAGACACCTTCGGATCCACAACAGACGATAGCCATATGAGTGTTAATTATATCCAGCGAAATTTATTCAAAGCCAAGATTTAAAAGTAAATAAAAGTATTCACACATGAAAATTTTGAAGGAATGTTATTTTTAATTTCTGTTGATGTAGAATTATCGAAAGATGTAAGCAAAACTGGTTTTAAATTAAAATGATCTTTTTTTGAATTTTTTGAAAGTTTTAACTAAGAAACATTACAATATTCAATATATAATTAATTAAAATGTCATTATATAAAATTCTATAATTAGAAACCAATGGGATCGGTATATATAATAAAGCACTAAAATAAATATTTTCAGTTAAAAACAAGTAAAAATATACTTTCTCTACTTCCGACTTCGAGGATTATACAGGTCAAACCGGCAAATAAGTGACAAGAAATAAATTCAACTTTTATCATTACCGTTGACTTTATTATATAATTGACACATTACAAATGCATTTCGCCTTTATTCCTTAGGCCTCTTCAGTGGATTCATCAAGATATCAGTCGCTGGTTACAATATATCCAGCAGCGGTTCTCATCATGCATCAACAACCATCCCAGTATTCAAATTAAGTACATTTGTATATTCGGTAATGCAAAAATGTTCGACAATTTTTCTTTCTAAACAATTATCTATTTTATACAATACCAGCTGTTACCCGCGACTTCGCCCGCGGAGGTTTTACAAGCAAACCCTATTTATATTCAGTATTTCAACAACCATAGTAATTGTTCTATAACACCTACTGCCGAGAATGATGACAATTGCTGAGATTCAAACAAACTACTTTTGAATTTGATCAATTTTCTGGAACGTTTACAATCGTTCTATAATCGAACCAATACGCAATAACAAATTCGAATTTAAAAAAGTTCGAATATTTGGTTAAAAAATCGAAATATATAAAAATATTTATAAACAATGTCTGAAATGTTATTAATTTAATACACTTAAGTACTTAATGAAGACTAAACGTAACAAAAAATCGCATGTAAAATAGTACAGTAGAATCCGTTCTTCCGGTTAAGCCTTAATGCTCTCCCTCTCCCCCCTCTGGGGAATTTCGAAAAATCCATTCTTAGTATACATTCTTATGACGTCTCTGTGTACAAATTTCACCTCTAGGTTCAGTGGTTTGCTCTGGGCGATGATGAATCAGTGAATCAGTCAGTCAGGACAAGCAATTTTATATATATAGATTTTAGTATTTTTTCTATTTATATTACAATTAAATTCTCTTACAATGTAAAAACCATGCTGATTCCGTTCTTCTCAGTCTAATGGCCGCCTCATGTTCATTTACTCTCAACTCCAATCTTCTTCCAGTTTCTCCGATGTAATAATTCGGATTTCCACATGTACATGATATTCTGCATACAACACCGGCGATCTTAAATTGGTCTCTGGGCGAATTTTCACTGATAATGTTTGACATCTTATTCTTTTGATTAGCAACTGTGCATATAGAAAATTCTTTAAATATCTGTTTATATTTTTTAAAAATATTAGTAACACAAGGAAACTGTACGTAAGAAATATTTTTATGTCATTTTTAACATTAAATCTACATTTTAAATAGAAATTATACCACTTACAGAGGATATACTTCAGATAATCATTTANAATTATTACATAAGAAAATGCATTATTCAGTTTTAAAGTTGGCTTAATAACGATCTTGAATATAAAAATAAAATTGTTACCATACACCAAACTATTAAGAAAATTAAGTGCATGTTAAAAAAAAAAAACAATTTAAGTTAATGTGCGTACCTTTCTCAACCATTTATAGATAATTTTAGTTAGTTATGTACCTGATTCTCCATTTTCTTGAATAAATCCAAGTTTTCTTGATTATATCTTAGAAATCACAGAAATTTTGTGACCTCTTAAAGGTAACAATGAGATCAATTTAAATCCTAAAACAATATCAAAGATTCAGAATTAAAGGTTCTTGGTTTAAAACAGAATGTCTAAGAACTATTATATGGAAAAACTATTTCACAAAATTGCATATTTTTTAAAATAAAATCTGAACTGACTAATCACTAATTGGCACAAAATATACCTGAAATTAATGGAACATAAATTAGAAAAATTTTGAATGGAATTTTAAAATTATTTTTGTACTAATATAATCTGGGAATTATTTTTTGGTTTACAAGTGCTCACAAAATTATATTAAATCTAATGTAGACCTGGTTCTTCTGTCATGATTTCTACTTTGATCCATTCTCTATTTCTCGACGATTGACGCACCGCATCAATTACTGCTTGAATATATTGACCGTCTTCGAAAGTTGCAGCAGTAGCGACCGGTTCTTTCACCCAACAGTGTCGATACTCGACGGATGCAAAAGCTTCCTTTAATGCACCAACCATTTTCACCAGACCTTTCATATACGGTCTCGGAAGAGTGAGATTGAGATGACATTGCAATACGTCATTTGTCGAAGAAAGAGACGAAGCGGATGAACTTTTTGACATAGTTAATGATGCTTGTTTCAGATCTTCAATATCAAGATAAAGGACTTCTTCCTTTGTGGAATCATTTCTTTGTCCATATAAGTCACCCCCACGAACAGTCACGTGACCTTTTGTTCCACATATCAATACTTCTTGAGAGAATTGTCCCGGAAGGTGTTGATTAAGAGTCACAGTAGCACAACTACCACCTTCCAGTTCCATTTGGAATGTGCAAAAATCATCACTGGTGATCTGTCTTATACCTCGGATACGTTCCGTCGTCTTGGTAAACGTACGCATCATGCCGTGGACTCTCACGGCTTTTCTGTCCGTAATGTAAGTGATGACGTCGATGATGTGACTTCCGATATTGGTCAGCAATCCCCCACCCATCGTGTCGTCACACATCCAGTCATAGCGGTCGTGAAGCAGACTTCCACACTGTACCCTGGCATCGCAGACGGTGACTTCTCCAACGTATCCCTCCCGAACAAACTTTTTCATCTGGCTGAAGGCCGGAAGGAACCGAAGACTGTGGCAAAGAATGGAGATAAGCGAAGGGTAATATTGAGCTGCGTGGACCATCTCTAGCACTTCAGACTGGCATAAACCAGCGGGTCGATCGCACAAGACGTGTTTACCTATTCTTAAAGCCTTGACAGCTATCTGAGAATGAAGGTGTGGAGGACAGACAATGCAAACCAGATCGACATCTTTACGTAGCAATACTTCTTTCATCTTGTTTGTATAAAAGGGTATTTCTAATTCTGTAGCTATCTCCTCGGCCGCTTCGATAGTTCTTCCCCAAATCGCCTCCACTTTGAAGCCTTTAGACCTAAGACATGACACCAAAACACGCACTGTGTTACCTGTTCCGAATACGCCGATACCTGGCAGCATAATAGCTATTTATGTATCGAAAGATCATCCAATATTCTCCTTACACTTTTATGCGTAGAATCATCGATTCGAACCAATTTTAAATATTTAAATTTCGTCTTTTCTCCCATTTGGGTAAACCTTCTCCGACATCGGCCATTTGCTAAAGCGCCCTCTCGTAAACAAGTATTTTTAAAACGATTAAACATTCTAATCACAGATTAGGATTTTTTAAATTTTATTTTTAAATTAATGTTTTATATTATATAAATAATTAGTTTTTCACTTTTATAAATATTATAAATATTTTCTGAAATTTAAATTATACGGAATTATTGTAAGCGAATAATGTTTTTAATTTTAGAAATGATTAAAATTTAAACATTTTAAGTAAAATATTGTTATTTTTATTTTTATTAAAATTTTTAATTCTGTTACGATATTTAAGTTTAATTATTAAAAAAAAATCATTATTATCTTACCTTATGTGATCGGGAGGATTGCGTCATCGAAATATTGGTGTCATTTAAAAAAGATAACAATTTTTTTAAGCAAATTCGGGAGGCGTTTTGTAAGTTCTCTTTCTTTATTTTAATTATTAATATTAAAATGTATTCAAACTTTAGTAATATGAAAAATAAATAAATAAATAAATACGCAGTGATAAATTAAACTGTAAACAGTATTGTGACGTAAATTTAATAAATATGTGTGTCATTCTGTGACTTGTTATAAAATCAAAAATTTTAAATAGCAAAAGTTATCAGATAAAAGTTGATTTTATGATGAGTCGTTAGCCGTTTTGAAATAATATCATTTCTGAAACGGTTTTTGAATAGTTGTAAATGACGTCATTTACAACTTTTCAAAAATCCATTATGATGTCACCAAATTCAAAATTTAAAAACATGAAAGCATTATAGACATAACCAAATCCTGATTTTCTAATAGCTAAACTTATATAATCTGGATGACATTTTGAATATGTTCATCAGTGGCTGGTATACCACAGCTACCAGTATTCAGTGAATGAAACCACTGAATACTGATATTTGTGGTTGCTACTTGTCCTTATTTGGTAAGGACAGTCCTTTCTTCAGTCAGTGTCCTTTTGTTCTTATTTAGCAATGAAATGCCCTTGCTAAAAGCAAAGTGGATAGAAAAAACATTAAGAAGGTTGTGGCTAGTATCGATGGCTGTTATTTCTAGTATTACCTATAGTGTATATTACATTATCTGAGTTGTGTCCAGTAACCTAGCCAACTATAAGGTCTTGCAGATTCTGCAGAAATGACATTATTGAACAAAATTCTTCAGTAGGTTAATTCTACTGCCTTTTTAGCCAAATGCAAGCTATCTGCAGTTACTTAAAACCAGTATAACTACATAAACACTTTACTAGTGTATATTTCAAGTATTTCTCAACAGTATCATAGAGAAGCATTTGAATAGAGATTTTCTTGTAACTGTTGAAAGACATTCTTTGAAAATTTATTGCATGCAGTGCATTAAATTAGGCATTGCTGTTTCTCTAGACTTCCAGTTATAACCCAACATGCATTGTTATCAGGGATGAGAAGGATTTCCCCTTTTATCTTTCATATCCCTGGCTCTGAGGAAATGAAAGTAACCCAGCCAGGGATAGCTTCTTTTCTCCTCTCTTATCAAACTTATGGATGATGTAAATTTTACAATCTTGTAAAAAGTCAAGTTTGATTTTACACAAGCTACAAAATTGATTTATAAGTATAAATATTATTGTATCTAATTTGTAGGCATTTTTTCTAACAGACCGACACGTCATGGAGTATGTTTGGTCAGCAGCCATTGTGTTTTGCTTTTCAGTAGCATTCTTTTGCTTTATTCACTTACTACAACAATGTTTAGAAAGCTTAAATTAAACATACCTAGATTAACTCTTCTTGAACTAAAAACTCCATAGAGAGTTGCTTATCGGTATTCTTTTGGGGTTTTTGTTTGTGTTTTAAAGTAATTCAAAAAATTGTTACAGTACATGTAGGCTATCTGCAATTCTTTTTCCATTCCTGCAGTGTTACTACTATGACCTATGTACCACCCCTCATAACAGTAAAATGAGATACTATTGTATATAGTATACATAACCCAGGTGATCATCCTTCCTGGAAATTTTACAAATCATACAATGATTATCATCATTGTTGTTACTTTAGAAAACCAAAAGGTGGCAATTCTATGCCTTACCAACAAGTTGGCCACATAGATTTTTCTGGGTTTTCTTCACTTGTCTAACATATGAATAGGGGCAAGTTTCTTGTAGAAAGTCCTCCTGGAAGGCATCCACCCGTTGACAGATCATTCATGTTGTTAATATATTGCTACATCCAATCAAACTAAACCATTTTGTCAATACTATATATTAGTTTTCTGTAGTGTGAATATAATCTGGCTTGCAGATGTTTGGCTATGAAACCATTTTAAGAATGACAATATTTAATTTCATTTCTAAGTTATTATTTAAGTTTTCTTGAGAAAAAAATGACTACTGTGCTTCTTGTTGTGAATATTTATTGCCAATTGACATAAAATCATATTAATTGGGCTGCAATTTGAAAAAATTGTAGACCTATAAATTCCCACTGTTGTCTGTCAGTCTGTCTGTCTTCTCTTAATCTTGAGAATGGTGTTAGATAAATGAAATTCAAGACCAAATATGGAAAGCTTGGGGTGGGAGGTCCCAATTAACTATATATAAACAACCAGTGCAAACCAAAAGTCACATTATTTCAATTCAGAACAGTAGCATGTAACAACAGTAGCATTATTGTTTTCAGAAATATCATATTAAAGTATTCAAATAATTTGATATATGAAATATATGAAGTTTGTAGATGAAAACTGCAGATGAATGTCTCAAATATATGCTATGTTGTTTTTTTACACAATATGCTACATACACAGCATGTACAAATTCTGCTATGTACAACTGAGTGACTGATTTGTTTGGACAGATCTTGTTTCTTGTATTTCCTTATATTGTCATGTGGTTAGTGGATTTTGTTTCTTAAAGCTGCATTATTGTTCATGCTTTGTTTGTGGGAATAGTCTAGTAAAAAGTTTGTCATTTTGTTTTCCCAAAGTAAAAAATACAATATCCTCCAGTATGTGTATGTGTTTAAATATACCATCTAAGATGCTCAAAGCAGAGACTGTATTGAAAAAAAATGTGTGAAATAACTTAAAAAGATGAACCTAAAAATATAACTTCTACTATTGAACTTGCAAATAGGATTATTGCTTATTTTATAATAAGCAATAAACCTTGGTATTGAGTCTAAAACTTTTTTAAATAGTCAAAAAAACAAGTTTAGTCAAAATAGAGTGGGGAAAAACGACAATTTTATTGCATTCTTTACAGTAAATTCAAACAATAATTCTAATTAAAAAAAAAAAAATACAAACACCAGTGTCATAAGACTTCTATCCAACTTTCATTTTCTCTATTTAGTTCACATCCTTCCTGAATTTCATATCCTCTTCAGTTATTGCAATCTGTAACTGGAAAGGATATAAAATGGATATAATAACAAATGTTTGTCACAAGTTTTTGTTTCTTGTAAGTCTGATGTTATTGATTATACAGAATATATCTTAGATTATATTTGTGTAATTGTTATTAATGTTTACAAATATTTATTTTCAAAATAAGATATCAAATTAAAATAATGACTAGTTACATTTTTCAAAGTAATCATGATGAATGAATTTTAAAATTTAGATAAGCAATTTAATAGTTACATACATGAATTTTTTTATCAGAATAATCAAATCAATGAACTTTGAAAACCTATTCTCCTCATATTTTTTTGTATCTTAACTAAAAGTTTTGTATCTGTATATGAATTTTCTTAACTAAAAATATTCTGTATTTATTTATAGATATAGAATATTTTTAGTTAAGACAAAATTAACAACACAACTCTGTGATGAATTCTATAATGAATACATTATAGAAATCCACACCAAAGGCATTAAGGAGTGTTTTAAGGAACGTTTTATTTCCAGCTAGTACTTTCAACGTTCATATCTACGTCGAAAGCGCTGGCTGGAAATAAAACATTCCTTAAAACACTCTTTAATGCCTTTGGTGTGGATTTTCACTTGAGTTAGAACAATTGTTGGTGTGACATCAACAGTACATATGTAAATTACATTATAGAAATCATCATAGAGGAATCTTAAATTACTTATGCATACTGTTTTTGATTAGCACAGGTGATCTTCATATGATCAGAGAGTTCTAAAATGGAATGCAAATGTTAATACATTAATCATGTATTTAACAAAAGTGGTTATTTTCAACAAGAGGATGATTCCATGCACTGAGTCATTGAGCACTCAACTAAGAATTCACAATATCCACTCTGAATGGGTCTGGATTTGCCAGATGTCTCACAAAATCTATGGCTTTGCAATGACTGTAAAGTCATTGGAATGTTTAAATATTTTCAAGTTTAAGTTTATTGTGCTTTTTATGATTAAATTGATATTTATATACTGTATGATGATGAAACAAAGTTGGAATGGATAAAATTTCAGATTTTAAGTTTTTTCTGAATTTTACTCATTAAAATAGAAAATATAATCCCATTTTTAAGGGATGATAAAGTATAATTATATGATATATTAAAGCTTCATAAAAATTAAGAATTTTGAAGTTTAATTTTGAAAGTATTTTTAATGTAAATGTTTTATAATCATTTAAAATTTATATTTAACTAATCAATTTATTAATATAGATTATATTATTTATTTTTTTCTAGTTTACTACAAAAATGCCACTTTTTGAACCCAAAATAGATACGAAAAAAGCAACATTTGCTTTATCATGATTTTGGTTTCCCGAAGCACAATTTGGTTGTGCTCCGGGAGTAATTCGTACCAGAGTCGGTTATGCAGGAGGAAAGCATAAGAATCCTACTTATCGTAATTTGTAAGTTGTTTTTGTACTTTTTTCTTTTAAGTGTAGGAATTATAAATAGATCTCTTGAAATTTGTTTTTATATTATTAAAATTTATTTGTATATTATTGTTTATTTAGCAGTGAAATTATTTACAAGAAGAGAAATAGATTTTTATTCAGTTTAATGGACATAAAATTGTTACTGTAGTAAAAAACAAAAAAACCTCTGGGATAGAAGTTTCTTCTAGTAATTCATAACAAGAAAATATTTTATTCGTTTTACGTATACTAAGCATATACAGTGAAGCCTCACTTTGTTGCCACCCCTGAAATTCTGTAAAACTATTGATACATTACTTTTAATATGAATCAAACTATATTTTGATGGCCATTTCATTTAAATGTCCAAGATAGGAGTGTCTTGAAAGACATTCATCTCTTTTGTGTGGCCAACAGAAAACTTGAAATATTGTTTAAAGCACTTTAAACAGAATTGAGCTTTGTTGTTAGTTTAGGAATAGTTTGCTGAGATCCCTGTGTTAGATGACATTCAAATAAAATAAATCTTCATTTACACTAAAGAAATTAAATTTATCCTTAAAACTAGAATTTATCTATTTGTTCAATAATTTTATACAAAATCTGTTGCATTTTATTAAAATAAAGTATGTAAATCAGCAATGATCAGTCTCAGTGACAATGGCTGTGATGATACACTCCCAAAGATCCTGAACGGTTCTGACCAAAGTTGCATAAATTATTATTAATTAGTTGTAACATGTTTCTCTCTCATTTGGAATACCCTTCTTCCAACATTTTCTATTAATATAAATCCTTTAAAATACATTAATTCCATAATCAATCTTAGCATAATTTTTGACAATAAACTTACATTTAAGTATCACGTTGATAAAATAGTAAAATCATTAGTAATAATTATGTTGCAGCATCCTCTGGTGTTTCTGTAAGCATATCCCATTGAATAATGTGCTATGCACTGTTTTTTTCACAAATTTTCAGTCTAGTGTAGATTACAGTTTATCAATTTGGTCTATGACTGTCCCCTCTCTTTTAAATAAAATTATGAAATAACTTGACAAAATTTATATACCTATAAATTTACTCTGCAATCTATCCTGAACTTATTATCCAAATGTTGCCAGATCTAGACTGGGCTTCTGAGTTTTAAAGAATGTGTCAAATACTTTGACCGTTTGCACTTCCATAAGTATTTTAATGGAAACACAGTTGGATTGGCTACGGTTAAAAATTCCTCAACAGAACTTGTGTAACACATCATGTGTTTTTACTTCCTTTTATGAATTAAGCATTTCTCAAAGATCATACTTTTATTGCATCTCTCATGATATGATAGATTTTGAAAATTTACTACATGAATATTTTAGTCATTTTAAAAGCATTTGTAAATGAATACTTTTTTATAATTCTTAGTGTTTAATACTTTTGTCCTATTGTTATCTTATCATTTTTTTAAAAATGTTTTCTTTATTTTCTACTTATACCTGTATTTTTATATATTATATAATATTTTATGTATCTGTTTATACTGTTAATCGAGGGCTGGAAATCTTTTGGGGGACATTTCCATTTGTAAAGAAGTTAAATAAAATAAGTAAATAAATAAACAATTAGCTTTTAATCCTATTTTTACAATATAATACAAATATACTTTTTACATATACATAGTATTGATAAATAATATAAGCATACAATTTAAACATTTTACTGGTTAATGGTTTTGTATTTTTATCACTATTTTAATGATATTGTTTTAAATGTGTGAGTCTTGTAATAATTTTTAGGAACTATTTGCCTTACAGTAGAACCTCGATTATCTGGACTAATTGGGGATAAAGGTAGTCCGGATAAGGAAAAATCCGGATAATTGAAACAAATACTTTAATTTGTCTTTTAATGATAATACAACACATTTTCTTTTCGATGACATATCGGTAATATTAAAAATAAATACTGTATTTAAATCGTGATCAAATTTTNCTTACAGAGGTGATCATACAGAAACAATTGATCTTGACTATGATTACACCAAAATGTCTTACCAAGAATTACTTGATATGTTCTGGAAACTTCACGATCCTACTACATGTCACAAACGTCAGTACATGTCAGCCGTTTTCTATCATGATGAAGAACAGAAGAAATTAGCAGAAGAATCAAAAGCAAAAAAACAAAAAGTTACATCTAGAGAAATTGTTACAAAAATTCTACCAATGGAAAAATTTTATGAAGCTGAAGAGTAAGTATATTATTTTTAATAGATTATTGTTAAAAATAATCTATTAAATTAATCATTGGTTATTTTTCTAATATATTTTTCTTCTATTTAAGCTATCATCAGAAATACATTTTGAGAAATTACGGCGATATATTTGATACTATTGGATTAGATGGTAAATCACTATTTTAATGATATTGTTTTAAATGTGTGAGTCTTGTAATAATTTTTAGGAAATATTTGCCTTATCTTTAAAAGTTGTTCACCTAACTGATAAAGGCCATAAAACCAAGAGCAGAAATGCATTTTAAGAGATATATAAGGCATTAATAGTTTCATGTGTGTGGTAATCCTTTCATTAAAATAATTTACTGCATATATGTAAAAAGTATATTTTTCATCTGGAATTCTTTCCTGAGCACTGTGCTGCATGAGATTACCTGTTTTGTTTTCAAGAATTAATTATTCATAAGAAATTATGGTTAATTAATGATGAAGAATTAATTGAGGATAATTTGATAAAGTTCTGATGAGGATAATTCTAGAAATATACAACATTGAAAATCTTATTGAATACTTTAATTTGTTCCATAATTAAGCACTGTATTGCACAGCATAAAAGTCATAAAAATCGTTATTTAAAAAAATTAGTATTTTTTTTACATGAAAATGGGGAAAAATAGTAAGGAGAAAGGTTAGAATCTGGACCCACAAACTCATCTTTGTGGTATGAAGAGTTCATTGCATGGCGTGGTTACCGTACAAGGCCCCACTGTAGTCCAAAAACAATCTGATGATTTAGGCTTATGTTATGGTAGTTGATTTAGGCTTTGGTTATCATTTATGAAAAGAATAATATATTAATTTATTTTATGAATGAAACTGAATAATATGAACTTTAATTTAATTATATAATTTTAAATACTTTCTGGCAAATCATTTTATTATATTTTTCACAAGTAACAACTCAATTTTACAGAATTTTAATTTTCTTACAGAGGTGATCATACAGAAACAATTGATCTTGACTATGATTACACCAAAATGTCTTACCAAGAATTACTTGATATGTTCTGGAAACTTCACGATCCTACTACATGTCACAAACGTCAGTACATGTCAGCCGTTTTCTATCATGATGAAGAACAGAAGAAATTAGCAGAAGAATCAAAAGCAAAAAAACAAAAAGTTACATCTAGAGAAATTGTTACAAAAATTCTACCAATGGAAAAATTTTATGAAGCTGAAGAGTAAGTATATTATTTTTAATAGATTATTGTTAAAAATAATCTATTAAATTAATCATTGGTTATTTTTCTAATATATTTTTCTTCTATTTAAGCTATCATCAGAAATACATTTTGAGAAATTACGGCGATATATTTGATACTATTGGATTAGATGGTAAAGCACTTATCAATTCTCATGCAGCAGCAAGAATTAATGGCTATTTAGGAGGTTATGGAAAGAAGAGTGATTTTGAAAAAGAATGGAAAACATTGGGTCTTTCGAAAGAGGTAGCAGAAATGATCCTCGACGAGATGAAATGCAACAGACGACTGCATTGTTAATCTGTTCCTCTTCATTATTTTTCTATGATAATGGTTAAGAATAAATTTAATTATCACATATTTGAAAAATATTTAACAATTTGATTTGCAAATTGAGAATTGTTTAAAAGAGTATCCAAAAGTGCCATAAAAATTAAATATTGTCCAATTTTTCTACATGCACCCTCAATAGCAAATGGTCAAAATTCAAAAGGATGAGGATGACTCCATTTTCAAAAATATTACAAAAGAAAATCTATAGTAGTACTGTTTTTAAGAAAAGTTTTTTGCTGTTTGAATGATTTATTTGATAACATTTTATCTATTTTCTGCTACAAATTATAGGGAAATTTGTATCTGTAATTCATATGATTTTTTAGAATTTTCATAAAATGATGCAAATATTTTTACAGATTATTTACCCTATTAAAACTTTAATGCAATTTAAGTACATTTTTGCAACATCTTTTAAAAAATTACAATGTTTCAGTGCAGTTATAAATTGCATATTTATCAATTAAATATGGTTATGCAACTTCATGCTATATATTTATATATAAGAATATTTTTATTATGGTTTAATATGGAAAGTGTATAAAAGTTTCTAGAGTATCTATATTACTTAATACAAATTTTCAATTGAAGTCATGGACTTAATAAATTAATTATGTTTGCAATAATGTTTAAAATGTGATAAATTCATCATGCTAAGAATTTTTAAGTACCTGATTTGATACTTCTGTTGAGAATTACTTTTCTTCCATTTGTTGGCAATAACATTATTTAATTATCTTCAAGAATATATATTTTTTTAATATCTAAGCTATTAAATAGCTCAAATTGTTGATAACTTTAAACAGTAATATTAGTAATTGCTTTATTCACAACCAAGAATAAAGAGTTAGAATTAGAAGTTAACCAATTTTCATTCACTTTTAGTACATGAATGTGTATTTATTAACTTCTAACATCTCTCGATCCTTGGTTGCAAATATAATCATTTATTAAAAGAATAATATATTAATTTATTGTGTGAACGGAACTGAATATCTGTACTTTAATTTAATTATATACTCTAATATTTCTTTCATTTTTTTTATATCGTATGAAGTCCTTTATTTAAAGTTATAAATATATTAAGGACAGATGATTTGGGTATAAAAAAAATATAGAAATATTTGAAGATAATTTTGTTGAATGTTACTTGTAGAAATAATATAAAGTGTAATGAATAAATGTTAAAAATGATAAGTTTGTATTTAATATGAAGATAATTAAAAGAATAAATACATTAAATTTCAGAAGATAGATTAAAAAATATTGTAATTATTTCATTTTGTTATAATACAAATGATAAGAATAAAACTCACTAATTTCAAAATTTATATTTTCAAAGAACACAACTCTTTCTTTCTAAATTAAGATATTTTCTTTACGTCTCATTATTAATTTAAGTCCAAAATAACTCTTATAAATAAGACTCTTCAAATAAAAAAGTCCTGAAAAACTTCAAAACTTGGCACTATATTTCAGATCTGTATTCACAACCAAGAATGAAGAGAGAGTTAGAAGTTAACCAATTATCATTCACTTTACTTTTAGTATACTTTTAGTATACAAACAGTTATTGGTTAACTTCTAATTCTAATTCTTGATGCTTGGTTGCAATCCTAGGCTGGATCTTTGGTTGGTAAAGTAAATGGCTATGCTCAGCAGACTCAACAGTTCTGGAGATGTAGAGTATTTTTCTGCTGAACTCCCTCTGCAGTAGTGCTCTTTCAGAACATGTTTGGTGTTTTGACCTCACATTTGGTAGCATCTTTCATTTAAACTACCTGAAACTGATCAATGAGGCTTTTTGTTCTAATGCAATGCCATTCATTGTTTAACACATCCAGGTTGTTACATAACAGCTACCAATTTGCTCAGTTAAAACTGTTGAGAGTGCTGAATGCAGCCAAGGGTAATTGGTTAACTTCTCACACCCTTAATTTTTGTTATGAATGTGGCTTTAGAATTTTAATGAAAAATAAAAGTACAGTTAAATTAAAGCAAGTTTAGCTGAAGCTGGACTGTAAAATAGTTCAAAAACATTTATTTCTTGTTTAAAAAATTGTTGTTGCCTTAATTTAGCTGTTCTTTTTATTTTCCAATAAAACTCTTCATGGCAAGATTTTGAGAAGAGTTCTGTTTAAAAACTTTATTTATTTTGTAATAGATGTTCTAAAGATGAGAGATAATTTCAAACATTTATCTTGTTTTCTGTGGACTTGTTTGTTTTAAGGAGTGTTTTGTTTTTAGACTCAAAATTATTTAATACAAGATTTTATTATGAAACAATATGACATTTCACTTTGCTTCTTATTTTTCTTTAGAAATAATTAATTCAGATTAGCATAATTTTTAATATTTATTTTAAAAAATAATAAGGTTTTTACTGTCAATACAGACATATATAACTTTATCATCAAGGATATTTTTTATTTATATCTGAATGAAGACATCATTTATGGATCAGGTTTAATATATATTAATATTAGCAGGTAGGCCCAGCGTTGCTTAGGCAAAAGTAATGATAGTGAAGATTCAGATTATTACATTATTGTTAACCTTACCCGTTTTCACAGAATGCAAGAATTGGGTCCCCCTGTTTTTGAACTAATTAAAGAATTTTTAGATGGGTCTAAAAATATGTTTGATTTCCCGCCAAAATGAAAAAAATTGCATCTGCGTCTTGCACATCGCTTTCTCTTAACAATTCCATTGTTACGTAACACTTACATTGTTGACACTTCCATTGTTACTTAACACTTCTATTGTTGATGCAAGTGTTAAGCCTTAATCCTGTCCCTCTCCCCTGTGGGGAGTAATTTCGAAAAATCCCTTCTTAGTGTGCATTCTCGTGACATACCCTAACTGTGTACCAAATTTCAACTTTCAACTTCTAACTGTTTGGGCTCTGCGCTAATTATCATCATCATCATTCCCTCTCGATTATATATATAAATATATTTTCAAAAAAATTTGAAATTATATGGCTTAAAATTGGGAAAAGAAGAGACTTTGATTGGTATTTAATTGATTATTGAACTTTTTTATAGATGAATATTTCTGTTGTATTGTTAGTTGCTTTTTGCCCTTATATTAAATTTTTGTGATAACCAGTTATTACAATTTTAATGCTTATCACACCAGTGAATATGATATTACAAAAAAGTACTTTTATATTGTAAATGTAGATATAAAATAAACAAAAATTTCTGTAATATATTCACTGGTGTGATAAGCACTAAAATATAAATAACTGGTTAGGTTATCACAAAAATTTAATATTTCTGTGTATATAAATACTAGCTGCATATGTCCAACATTGCTCAACTTTAATCATTCATATCATACACTTTCTTTTAATAAAAATTCCTTTCCCTTTAAAAGCTGACAATTCGAAAATCTTTTTATAGCATCTGTTAGAAGAATTAGATAAATCTTATTGATTTTAGTTGGATAATGTTTGAATAATTTAATTTTTCATATGTTAAAGTACTTATTTTTAGGTTTACTTTCTTTTCCTGTTTTCAAAATCAATAACATATCTCTAAATTTAAAATAATAAAAAATTTCAACTTTTAATAGTTAACTTTACATCAGACTCTTGAAAAAGTTATCAGTACAGGTATGTGTCACTTAATGACTAGGATACATTCCAAACAGAAAGTTCATAATTAAACATCATCTATGCATTATATTTAAACAATTAAAGGAGCAAGAGATACTTAAAATCATTCAAGAAAAATTATACTGAATGTCAAATGTTATTGTTATGTGAGATACAGTAATAATTAAAAAATATGCATTAAAACCAAATTTCCATGCATGTTTTTGCCAGTCACAAGCTCTCTTAACTGTTTAGTCCAATGTACTACTAATATATGTCAATATGAAACTCAATAAGTATGTATTTACACAGAAAAGGTACAGCTGGGTACAGATGTCCTGCTATATTATAATCTTATGGGACATTCATTGTTATGCGATGCAAGCTTATAATTATATTTACAGTAACATTTTACACTTAATCCTAAATCTTCAACATAGTGATATTTCTTTAGAAATAAGGTTTTTATTATATTTTGAGTCCAATTGGGTCAATTAGGTTATGCATCTTGGTTATATATGAAAACATTAACACTATATGCAATTATAATCAGTTTAAATATGGATTACAAAATATTTTATTCATATTTTATATGCTCGGAGCAGAAATATTTAATAGAAAGTGTATAAAACTGTTTTAGGAAATCAATTTTATTAATTTTATGATTAAGTGTTTTAGATAGGTTAGTAATACAGTAATAATTTTTGTGCTAAATTCTGAAATAAATCAAAATGATATTTATTTTAATCCGTAATTTGAAGTACAGGTAACCCCCGTATAACACGGTAGTTACGTTCCAAAAAATTGCCGTGTTATGCGAATCCATGTTATACGAAACAAAGAACTAATACGAAAAGGAGGGTTAGGTTCCAAAAATTAAAAAACATGCTAGTATATTTTCATAATTAAGATAAATATCTTCATTAAAATTTTTTTAAGTGATACATATTAATATAAATTAAACAATATTTTCTTCGTCATCACTAAAAACACTATTAATTAACCGAGAGCGTTTTCTTTTTGGCAAGTTATCCTTATCCTCTGAGCATTTTTCTGCATTATCTTCAGATCCATGCTTTACCTTTTGCAAAATGTATGTAATTTTAAATTGCTCGCTTCTAGTTAAAAGGTCTTTATAAATTTCCTTATATGGTGCTAAGCACTTATGAAAAATAAAGCAAGTATGGAATAAGGGAAAAACATTCGGCAACATCAGAAGCAGAAGCGTCGAGATCTGGCAACATTGAAACAAGTTTCGAGAAGGACCATGTGTATCGACAGAAGGCGAGAAGAGAAAGTTTACATACTTAAGAACTAATAATAGTTCACGAAAATTATTATTTTCGTGAACTATTATTAGTTAAGTATGTAAAAATTTATTACATTTCCTGTTGTACGAGGGTTTTACCCAATTCTCGAACCGTGTCAGAGTGAATCCGTGCTATAAAAGTACCGTGTTATATGGGGGATGGTACCAATTCTCGAACCGTGTTAGAGCGAATCCGTGCTATAGAAGTGCTGTGTTATACGGGGTTACCTATATATATATATATTTAAAATAATAGTAATTTCAATTCATTAACCATTCATCTCATTTTCTACTCCAAAAAATTTTCTTGATGCTGGCAATCTTGTAGCCATAATTTAAGAATATTCATTGCAGATTTAACTTGAGATTGATTCCTATTAATCTTATAAAATTTCAAAATAAAATCAGAAAATAATTGGAGAAATAAACTAAATAATTCTGTTATTTTTATATTACTTCAATTCTCAAATGTGTTCAATATGTTAATAAATCTCAAAAACTAAATAATGATTAACAGAAACTTAAAATAATTGTTCCCAATTATAAAATTTTTAATTTCCATCAATAAATTCAATGATAAGTTTAATTTTTTAAGTTGTATTGCACAAAAATATCCATTCACTATTTAATTTATATAAGGGTGAATTAATAAATTGCCAGGGCAAGCAGCCTTACTGTTGCATTTTGTGGTTATTTATTGATCAACCCTTATTTGGTAATCTTAATTATAAACACTGATACTCAGTAGAATCTAGCTAATCCAAATTCTGGTCATCTAAATTTTTCAGTTGCAGATCAAGCACTTGGAAGCCTCAACTGCAACCTAGTTTCAATGTTCCCTTGTAAATACAAACAAGTAATACTATCAAATCAATTTTTTACTTATGAAACAACAATAATCAGTGAATTATTTCCTTAAACATAAATCTCTAAATGTCAAGATGACAATGATATCTGTGCCTGAGCATCTCAGAATGTATTTCCTTTTGAAGCTGCTACCTTTCTGAGGCTCCAAGCACACACTTGTTGCACCTCTGCTATCATCTGCCACTGAAAATTCTAGTTAATTCAAATGGCCAGAAATAATCTGGATCTCTCTCCTTTCAACAAAATGTAGTTGTGATGCTTACCATATTTTTAACCTGAAGCAGACCTCAACTGAGGCCGAAAACATTTGTTTTATGATTGGTTAAGCAATACCAGACAATAAAGGTTAAGTGAGTATGAAATTGTTCAAAATACCGGTATTCAGAATTGAAGATTTTTGATGCTTATCTCACACCATCTAGAATATGCAATGTACCAAGCCTTAAAATATATTTAAAATTTATTATTGGAATAGAAAATGAAGGCGAGTCTATCTCCTCCTCTCTTTCCTCATTGATAGAGGTTGATAATCCTCACATATATGAAGCAAGTTTGTCAATATTCAAAAAATGTCTGGTGTTGGTCATCCTGATGTAATACAACAGGCTCATCTAACTACAGTTCATTTCAAATCCTCATATTAATTAACATAAATACTTTAGAAAAAACAATTTTGGATAATTGAAAACAGGTTTGGACCCAAATTAATTCAGAATAGTGAGGTTCTACTGCAGTGGTTCTTAATTGGTGTTTTGCAAACTTGAAAAAGTTTGCAAACACCAATTAAGAACCATTGCAGTTCCACAGAGAAAAAAGATGATTTTAAAATTTTTATTGAAAATTTATTCTAATGTACTACAACAAATTACTTTATTTGTAAAATGAATTCATGTTTATTATTTTATTCAATACAATAAAGTTTATTGGTTTATTGCTGTATTATTTCCTGAGAATAGTAAATGCAGAATTTCTTATCAATTTTTGAATATAATAATGCTAATGTTCTCTCCGACAAAAGTATATGAAATATATATATAAGAACTGATCAAAAATATCCATAAAAGTTTTTTTTACAGAGAAACTAATAATAATAGTGATGTAGCAACCATAGATGATATTTCACTATATTTTCCACTTCTATAAGCCAGAGCAGCAGGTAACAGCATCTGTAAATTAGCAGTGTAGTAATGAACTACAATGAAGTATGTTTCTGCCATGTTGTGAAATGGATGAGTTGAACAAGCAATGTGTTTGCATCAGGTTTTGCTGGAAGCTTAGTAAGATGCCACTGAAATGTATGAAATGCTTCAGCAAGAATTCAGAAAATCCGTGCTCAGTCAGTAAAATTTGAGTTCTTTTGACTCAAATTTTACTGATTTACTCAAATTAAAACTCAGTCATTTGAGTGGTATTCATGATTCAAAACGGCTACACATCAATTGATGATCTACACAGGCTGATCAATGGCACGAATCAATGAAACTGTTGATTAGATCATTGTATAGAATTGTTCTGCAGTTCCTTTGAGATGTAGAAATGCTCTCACAAATGGACCTCTGTAACTAGCTTTTGCATCATGACAATGTATCATGCAACATGCAACACAACCCTCAGCTCAGAGTGTCTTGGAATTTTTGGTCACATGTAGCATTCTCCAATCACCTTATTTATCGGATTTGGTACCTTCAGACACTTTTTTTCAGGTTCAAAACCACACTGAAGGGGAAATGATAAATTCTTGTGGATTTACAACTAAATGCAACATGAAAGCTACAAGCCATTCCTGAACAGGTTTATCAAACATGGAAAAGTGGAAGAATCCCTGAAATTTCTGGATATAATCTAGAAAGCTGTGCATTAAGGAGATAACTCCCAATAACTAGAAATTGTATTTGTTTTCCTACAGTAAATTTTCCTGAATATTTTTGATTGGCCCTCATATATATCTTTTTCATGTTTATATTGAAGTTTGAATACAAATTTTTCAAATTTTAATAATTATTAAAGATTATGAGAAAATATATTTAAATAATTTTAAAAATAGTTTTTATAAAAATCATTAAATTTTTTTAAAAAATAGTTATCAATATATTTCATTAGAAATTTCTTATTTATTTTGTTCTATTTTTTAGTTTTTAAAAGACTTTTGAGTCTATGTAATTGAAGAAATTTGAGTTTTATGTATTATTTGCATGCATAGGAATGTAGAAAAGCCATAAAGTTATATGTAAATAAAACAAATCAAGTTTTTGAGTTTAAATTATTCATTTGGCAGTTGGGAAAAACGTTAAAAATGCTTTTTCCTTTGACACAGTTTATGCAATTTTTGATGGTAATCATTCATAATATTTGATAAATTCTCTATCTACATATATCTATTAATTTACATTTGTCTTCGCAAATAATGGAAATGTTAGATTTTGATGCTTACTGCTTTTGTCTAATTATGTTTAAAAATTAATTTTTATATACCATTTGAATGCAATTTATTGAATTGGGAAAGGTTTATTAGTAATCATATCAAGTAGTTAATTAAATAAGACTTGTAATGAAATCATTTTTTAATATTCTATTAATTTACTCAAAACATTAGTGTTTCATGTACATTATTAGAATACTAAAAATTATTTGATTACTATAAATTCTACTTAAATACTGTATAATTTACAATGTGTTTACTAATACTTTATTTTGCTATATGGAAATTCTAATTTGTAATATGGTGCTTTATCCCTAATAATGTTGTCAGTAGGAATGTGAAGTTGTGTCCAAGAAGCACTTGAAGAAGACAACATATTATATCTTCCAACAACTGGACAGTGTTTATTGAAGTTCAGTTATTTATTACATAAAGAAGAGGAATAGACAAGGTAATCCCCTCAAGCTTTGAAACTGGCAATAATGTGGAGTGTATCTTTTTGGGAAGTGCAGTCTGATACAATGTTCAATCATTTGTGCTACAAAAAATCCAATAAATTATGAAGACAAATTTAAAAATCAATTGCATTACCAGAATTACTAGAGTAGATCATAAATGGAACTCATGAAATTTCTCATGTGTATGAGAAAAAGAGTAGAGTATCCTAGTTTATCTAATATTAAATAAGAGTAATGCAGCTGTGGTGACAATAGATCAGCCATAGCATTAGATCAAATCATAGTCAACGGATTGCAGAGGTATTTGACCAAACAGTAAAAAATAGCAAATGATTCCACGAAAGATGAGAGGTTGAAATCACAAGGTATATATCAAGGAGGAAGGCAGTGAACAAGCATGGTTGGATGACTTGGCAAGACCATCATCATGCAGTAGATTGTACGGATGCAGTCGTTGATAATATATTTAACAAATCTACATACTGTAGTATTTATATAGGAATGAATTTGTACACGGGCTAAATATAGTGTCATATATTTTAATGTACCCAAATGAATCTAAAGTCCATGTATTTTATGAAATATTTTCATTGACATTCATTTACATAAGATTTTTATTTATGTTTTATTTTTTTTAATTTAAACACAATCTTATGTAAGTAAAATTTACTGACATTTTCAAATATAAGTTTGTATATGGAATGGTCAGTTAACTTCATTCATTCCTAAAGGGGGAAGGAATTCATATCTTTATATCAATTCTTGTATCTAAGTCCACGTTATACTTAAAACCTCAAATAATATTCATATGTAGAGAACAAGGGCGCGTTTGGAAATTGTAACCGGTAAAGTTATAATTTCCAAACGCGCCCTAAGTTTTAATGTACAGTATTTAAAATTTTCGGAAAAAAAAAACTATTCAATTTTATATGAAATAAATTCACTTCAAATAATAAAAATAATAAATTTTCTTTAATTGCGTAGCCAAATATAAACGTTAAAATTCTTTCTTTATTCATTCATAAATAAATATAAACATAAAAAAAAAATATTTAAACTTTTCAACAAAATTCTTTCGTACTAACAAGTAACAAAATAAAAGCGCCATCAATTAAACTTTACGACAAATTTAAAAACAATTACACGAAAAGACTCAATTTTTACATTTTAATACTCGTTTTAAATTTATAAAATTTATTTTCCGACCAACGAACGATTTTTATATTTATTTGTTTTTATTTTTAACTAAGAGGAACAGACGATCTTTTAACCATAAACAAAATGGCGACCATTGAAAGTTGAAGAATGGAATGAGGTAGGTTGAATTCATCAATTTTATGAAGCGTATCAGTCGGTTAAAACTGTTATTCACTTCGTAATTACGTTATAAATTAATATATTTATGAAAATAAACGTTGTATATTTACAAAAAACACACAATGAGTTCCCAACGACAGCTTAAATTACATGAAGTGAATAACTTTAAGAAATGACTTATTTACACAAAACACGAGCTATTTTTATTAAAAACGAATAACAAATTACACTATTACAATATCACAGCCTCTTTTTTTTATGTGTAATTCACACACACTTTAAAAATTTCAACTAATTGACAAAGATAATTTCTCAACCATGCAATTAAATATTTGTCCTAATTTAATATAAAACAACTATGATACACTTTGTATGTTGTTTTCATACTACAGATTACATTTTCTATACATTGTGAACTTTGAGAAGAAAGTAGTTAAAATTTTTATTGGAAGGCTGTGTGTGGAATTGTTGAATGGAATGAATTGGTTATATTAAGTAGCTTAAGTGTATGGGTGTGCTTTGCTTAAGGGCAGAAGGGTCGTTCTTCCCAGATACAAACTTACACGTTCAAATGAAAGCACGAGTACCAATTTTTAATTCGCCATCACTGATAATTTATTAACCTTGTTGCATTCTCTGGTTTTTTCTGAATTTGGGAGGATGGTTGCCCTCTGGTGGGGTGATTGGATGTCTTAGATTTCCTGAACTGTCCTAGGTTTTGACTGTTTTTAAGATTTCATTATATAGTTCAAACACTAAGACTGGAATAAAGTATGTCAGAAAAACACAAACCTACAAACCTTATAAGTGAATTTCATTGTATAAGGAAACAACATCTATTTTATAATTAACTGCACAACACGCAGGGATGAATATAAATGTGAATTGCATTAACCAATGTGAATACGATTAACATTTGAGTGACAAAGGTTTTAGTAACTCCTCCTTGGTGCTTTTACAGGCTTCTTTTTAATTCAAAACAGGCTGGCAGTTAACATTCAAATATAAAATCAAATCAAATTCGATTTTTGAAGAAGAGCCGAGAAGGAGTTACAAAAACCTTTGTCACTCAAATGTTAATCGTATTCACACCAGTTAATGGTTCATGTGAGTTGCATTTTATATTTTATAAAATTGGAACACATTTTATGCCAAAGATCCAAGTATTTTATTGATTAGCAAAATTTCTTATGCCTCAGAGTGAGCTGCTGGTCTCTTCTACCATAGAAGTATAAGCATTTGATTGTAAGATAAATTTTTGAATAAAGCTATTATATTGACATGTTAATAAATAACACTTCAATATAATGTGACTATTTTCTAGATCAATAAATAAATAAATTTTTAAAAATAATCGAAGTTCAATCAGTTTTAGACTTCATTTTCACTGATTTTCGAATGTGTCCCCTGTTGGGTTGTAAATTATATGGTTTGCTTATCTCTGATTCCTCAACTTGTATGCCCATGTTAAGTAGTCAGCTTTTGGATATGGTAACTTGTTTGAGAATTTTAAAAAAAAAGTAAGAAGGTTAACTGGGGTGACTTTGTCTCGGATTTCTCCTGTTTTTAAGCCTCAGTTATAGAATCAGTTTTTAAATAGAACTATTTTATAGTTCTTTTGATGCAATATAACAAATTTATTGGTCAATATATAAATATTTCTAAAAAAATCTAAATTTATCCATTTTTCATTTATTCTTAAGTATTCCAGCTTGAACAATAAATAATATGGTCACTCTAAGCTCAACATCTCATTGATTGATAGAAAATTAACAAAAAACATATTAAATTTTTAGTGAAATATGCCATTTAAATAAGGTATGAGATATTTATACATGCATAAACACAATGCAATTTATGTAAAAAGTTATTTATAAATATAAATGTATGTTAAGTGTATATAATTTGTTCAGAATTGGATGAGTAAGCATATAACCTTAGTCATTCATGAAATACTGTAAAGTGAACTTTTTCCTGTGAAGATAAACAGATATAAAACTAAATATTGCCATATATTAATTAAAAGTAGCACAACTACTAAATATTTAAAATTGTATATTAATATTTAATAGATTTTAGTAAAAATTTTGGGATTATATTAAGAAATAGTTAAACATTTTTGGTCTTTTCCACTATAGTCACTTAAAAAATAAAGCAAATTATTTTCTCAATTTGAAAATTCAGGAACAAACATGAAGCAAAGAATAATAACTTATATGGATTAACCTTTGATCTATTTTGTAATCTAGCAATTTTTAAAATAAAGATAGAACATCTTAGTTTGTTTATTTTTCATCATAATAGTTTACAGATACAATTGAATAAGTTGACTGATTGATTTTTATCATTTTAGAAAATTAACAATATTTATAAAACTTATTTTTGTAATCACTAAAAAGGGGGTTTATAAACGGACAAACAGATTTGTTATGTCTTTCATGTCCAACCAGAAATCAAGAATTTATAAAACTGAACTATGAAAATGCTGATAAAAATAAAATAAAATAGGGTAGAGTATTTTGTTCTCTGTTTCATAGTTATTCATAAATAACAATAGCTTTACATTTTTGAAAGAAAAGTGTTAAACTGAATATACCCAATTCTGATTTTGCACAATTTTGATTTAACATAGTTGGGAAAAAAAAAGAATTAAATTCTCTTTTTACACAATTTGTTTTGATCTAACACACGTCAATAAATTGGTTTTTTTTTAAATTTTCATTTGATTTTAATTCTTAAGAAAAAACATTTATGTTCTTTTCTAGAAAAGTGCTCACTTTTTAATTCTTTAAAAAAAAAATTCTTGAAATTTGCATTTAAAAGTGCTATAAACACTGAAGTAAGTTTTAAGATTTGATGAATTTTTCAACTTATTTGAATGTGTGTAGCAACGATTAGCCTTTCATTCTATCCTGTGAAGCTGTCAAGGAAAATGTAATTGAAGTTTGACAATTTGTTTATATGACTATTTCTTCTGATTTCTTTTAATATAGAAAAGTGTTTTTATGCCATTTGGTATTAAAAACTAGATGTATTCTGGTGTTTAATTAAAAATGCTACAGAAAAAATAAACTTTGTCTTCCTTTTGATGTATTAATTAAAATTGAAATATTTTGTTTAAACATATCCTATTATATTACTTGATTTATATTGGTTTTACTGGTTTTTAAGGAATAGAACCAGACTTCCATTTCTTCATATATACAATATATTTTTTACATAATATTTTTGGAAGTGTTTATACCATGTAAAAGAAGAATTGGGCATATTAATTCTTGATTGTGTTCTCAATCAGACCTTGTAATAAACAGATGAAATAATGACTTAATGAGTTTTCTACAATATTTTATAAAAATTCATAAAATTACTTATATGTACATTTATATATATAAAATTACATATCCTGATTGACTGACTGACTGATTCATCATCACTGAGAGCAAACCGCTGAACCTAAAGAGGTGAAATTTGATACACAGTTAGGGTACATCATGAAAATGCACACTAAGAAGGGATTTTTTGAAATTCCCCCACGGGAGGAGAGGGAGAGGATTAAGTCTTAACCTGAGGAACGGTTATTACTGTACTATTTTAGATACGATTTTTGTTTTTGATAGTAATAACTTAATTTCCAAATGTACAATATTTACCAAATCATCCAAATTGTTTGCCTGAGCAACAGCAGGCTCATTTGCTAGTACAGTACAGTGTTGTTTATCCGAATCAATTGGGAACTGCGGTTGTTCAGATAACCGATTATGTATGAAAAAATATATTAACCTATGAAATTTTTCTCCATTGCGTGTCGCTTTTTGTTGAATTTTCGTCGATGTTAAGCCTAACGAAAATTTTTATAATAATAATCGTGGCTATTGTATCATTAAAAATTATTTCTTTATTTTGTACAAACAAAATAAATATATTGAAAAATATAAAAACAAAAAAATTTATACTTTAGAAGTTAATCTAGTATCAAAAATGTT